CTATCGAAGCATCCTGGGCCTCCATAACACCTCAGCAGTGCCACAGGCTGAGTGCCTCCATGCCACGCCGCATTGAAGCAGTCATTTCTGCTAAAGCATTCCCGACCATGTATTGACTATTGAGTGCATAACTGAACATAATTATTTGAAGGTTGACTTTTTTTTTTTGTATTAAAAACACTTCTTTTATTGGTCGGATGAAATATGCAAATTTTTTGAGACAGGAATTTTGGGTTTTCATGAGCTGTATGCCAAAATCATCAGTATTAAAACAATAAAAGACCTGAAATATTTCAGTTGGTGTGCAATGAATCTAAAATATATGAAAGTTTAATTTTTATCATTACATTATGGAAAATAATGAACTTTATCACAATATGGTAATTTTTTGAGAAGGACATATATATACAAACTTTTATGTTAGATACGATTAATCGATTTGACAGCACTAGTTATGACTTTATACAAACTCGCAGTCTTTGAGAATCGATGAATCGACCACATTTTATAAAACGATTAATCGAAAAATAACATTTTTATTTGCGCAGCCCTATAGTATTTAAGCTTGTGTAGGAGAGCAAAGGCTTTAGATTCTGCTGCACTACTTCTGATTTATTCATCCATCATTTGCCAGATTCCCTGCCATTCCACATTATACTATAAAAGTTCAATGATTATGACTGGATTCGCCTTATACGACCCTCAGGGTTGACCAGCACTAGATCTAGTGATGACTGAGCTCCAGTAATCCCACAATGCCCTGCTCCCCAGAGTGACCCGCGAGCTGTAATCCTATCAGGATCTGTGTGATTATGAGTGGACCGGAAGCAGAGGTCAGAGATCGTGTGCTTCTGATCCGCTTATCAAAAGTCCATTGACAAGTTTGACTTTTATTTTGGTGGGTTGTTGTGTTAAACTTCAGTTTTTTTAGCCTTTTAGTATGAATATGTAAGGTTATGAATAAGCTTTCAAAATTGGCATTTATGAGATATACGCATTCAAAACGTACAGTCTCTCACTTCCGGGATCAGGGGTTTTATGACATCACTGCGGACTTCAGCTTCTCATCACATCTCCTGTCCAATCAAACACTCTCTAGAATCTGAAGCCCCGCCCCCTCTGCTATAAACACCACCTGGCCGAAG